TCACATTGGAAGCAGTTATTCCGCACCACACCGTCACGCGAAGAGAATGCAGTGGCCTTTTTGAATTTATCTTGGATTTTCATCCCACCAAATTTTAGAATTATTTCTTTCGAATAAAACAAGTTTCAATATCCTAGCGTTAATAGTTTTTGTTGTATTAGCAAATCAAAAGGGTAAGTTACTTCTGGGACACTCTGTACATTCACAACGTGACAAGTGTTCAGTCCATGACTAAAATTAACGAAACCTCCTCCATATATGTGGGTAGATTAATAGCATTCGGTTGAATTTGCTTAACTTACCATTGTTCAGGGCTTTGCTGGAGAGGAATTACTATTTATAGAATTGGTTTTTCTGGCGCCTACCTCTTATAGCTTTACTGTATTCCATATAATTTTAGCAGACGTTAGGTTGCTGGTTTTAGGAATAGAACCGTTTACCACTTTGCAGTTTATGTGAAATTTCATTGTTACCGATAACTAATTCCAATCACCTCTTTAGCTGTGATTTTATGAAAAAAAATTACTGAAATTATTTAACATGAATTTTATACTGCTATGTTTGCTTTATCGGGCGGTGAAACGTGTATTATACCTTTTAAGGCCAACAAAAAATACGTTTTTGCTCATGACAGAGCGCTGAGCAACAGGGACTGTTTGATAAATACATTCGATTTTAACAGAGTTCACTACCTACTCTTGTAGCATTGCTCATAGTGCCTCATTTCTATCTTCTGATAAGTATGACTAAATTCTACGCTTATGAAGACTGTTCATAAAACTATTACCTTGTTAAAATGCTGCCTGAAATACACAACGGTTTACTGAAATGGCCTTTCAGTGAAAACATGACGTAAATCGTCATATATCTTGCAATTTGACAGTATATACAGAAGTTCATCAAGTCACCAAGGCGTGGCAGAACAGGATGCATGTTTATCGGTTGCGGAACTAAGTGCATCCGTAATAGTATATCGGATGAGAATCGATTTGGGGAACAACACGTGTTCGGGCATTTAAATGGGCAGTGCTCCCAGTAATGATCCGGTATAAGCCAAAAGCTGAGATCCTGGCACTTGGGTAATCACACTTCTGACTATGTGATTTATAACCTAAAAGCTGTAAAAGGAGATGATAGCAGCAACTCTTATACTAATAAAGTCAATTAAAACATTCTATCTCTACCAGCAGCCTGTCATTCCCCTGAAAGTACACACCCCCTACTACTTTCGAATGTCAGTTTGTACGTGTTGAAGACGTGAATTAGACAAATCAAGGGTCAAAAACCTTATCTCAATCAGTTTGAAGATGCTTTACTTTCGTCAGAAAATATGCTTTTCACAAGACAGTTGTCTTGAAATAAAAGCGGGAGTCCTACAAGCCCCGAGGTGGCTAGCGTTTGCAAAGGTATGTCAAGAGACACTATTGTTTGGTAAGAAAATTCACGGGAGTTTTTTCCCTGGGGAAATGCATTTACTTATTTATTGTATTACTGGATGGGTGTACATCTGCCTCTGGCATGCTGCAGGTGGACGAGGCAATTTTCAGTTCCTTCCCGTGTTCTACGTTGCACTAAAGCATATTTGTTGTTCTTTCAATATAATAAATACTCAACTACAATAGTCAATGAGAGGTCGTCAATCGGTTTCCGCACAAAAATTCTCTTATCCTCAGGGCAGCTCCTCTTGCTCCAAAAGTAACGTACTTGGTACGACCTTTATTGTGAAGCAGCTCTCTACAGGAAACAAAAGAATTTATCTAGTCAGATTTATTTCAACACTATCTCTGAGCCTATTCGGACCATCAAGCAATATACTAGAATACGATGTTTATGCGAAAGAACTCTCATCGGCGATGATTTAAATGTTTTACATCATAAAGTTTCCTGCAGTGATTTCGTCTGCTACCTTCGCGTAGGGAACACCATTCCATAGGGTTTACAAAAGCATAGTTCTCTGACTTTCAACAAAGTTATGGTGTTTTTTACTGCCATCTATTGTTGCCCCGTTATCCTGTTTTCCACAAAAGCGCTTTGAGTCTTCCTATTCAGGATGTCACGCTATTTCACACACTCCGAATTTTCCAAAAAGCATCCGGCTCCTGCAATTTTCAGTTCACACCACCACTTTTTAGGCTATACCAACAGCTTCGGTTTGCATCGGTTGATAGGAAGTGCTGTTTGGCAGCAAATAGGTTTTGAGTCGCCTGTGAAAAATAAGATCTGCGAGTATGATAAGGGCACGCGATGCGTGAAGGCATCCTTGGGTCGTGCTAGCTGAGAAGTTGCACGCGCAAAGCTCTCTCTCTCGATGGGAAAAAAAAGCACGTTTACCGGGCCTAAATGAGAAAGCGTGGCCATCTGGAGAACCATCCGTAGGCGAGTTTGACTGCTCTAAGTTGGGCAGGAGTCCATCAGTGGGGTTGTGAAAAACAATCGCAGTTTATATTATGCACAGCTGGTTGGAGAATTGGGAAAATTTCATCCACTATGTCAAGGTCAGATTGTGGGCAACTATGGTGCGGACGTGGCTACGACTGTGGGAATCGGAGACGAGGTTTTAGAGATTTCAGTCCTTATCATGACTTCTATATCCTTGTCATAATATGCGTATGAATTTCACCTGCTCAAGTCTTCGAGGCATGTTTCATCATGATGGGTAAACACATTTAATTAAGCTCTGGAAGTTATCGCATGCCGTTATTATCCAAGCCGATTTTAGAAGATGACAAAGAACAACAGCAAAGGGTCCATATATTGCTGTGCAGACGAATTTATCCAAACGCCCTGACCACTCGAAGCAGCTAGATGCATAGGCAGCACACTTAAAGGCATCATATAGCAACAGCATGTACACAACACAACTCCGTTTTCTTGGGATAAGAATCATGTTGACACATGAATGAATGAAATCGTTCGAGTTTCGAGTATTTAAGTTGATAAGGAAGAAGCATTATCGAGCACCGGAACAACTTCTTTATTATCCTGAGCTTTCGAACTCTTACAGATGTCCACTTTCAGAGCTAAGAAACAGTAAAAAACAGGCTGTACGCCAATCAGCTGGCCGAGGTCGTTGGCGGTGCGAAACAGCAGTCAAAGGAGAGGAAGATGGACTTCCCTAAGCCCAAATATCCCGTCTTTTTTAAAGTTCATGTAGTCGGTGTGCTCTCAATGTATTCGAATACTTTGAACTGAAAGTGTAGGTTAATATAAACACTGGATACAAGATGTAAGAGATAAGGGTGCTTAGCAAATCACGCACTTGGATGCCTTAAGATCTTACAGTAAGACGAAGAGAATCCGTTAGAAGTAGCTTGTTTTAAAAAAAGAAGGATGGTCGGTTACCAAAAGGAAGAACGTTATTTACAATAAGTATATTGTAGATGCATTAATCGAGTGTAAAAGTAATTTGCCGATCACTGGCCTGAAAATTAAGCCCTTGCAAAATGTGCGATTTGCATGTGTATTAAAACTTAACATTTCTTGGACGTTGACAGAATGATTGTCTGTGTGACGAATACGTTAGGATTGCAACGTAAACCTTCCGTTAACGAAACTGCTAATAAAATCGGATGTCCTACAAATTGGCAACAAGTTTACTAACTTGAAAACTCGGAACTTTAATGGTAACTAAAGAGCTTTCACATTTGGAGGACGCATTTTCCCAGATAAGGGCTGAACTCTAGTTTCAACACGTCGTTTGAGTGTCCCTTAGGTGGTTGTCAGGCCCCCAAAACGAAGTAATTGTCGCAAACAGTAGCTAGAAACGTACTTCCATTCATTTATTCAGTCTACGGTGACTGTAGACACTCTACTGGAAACAAAACGAAAGAGTACAATGTGGTCGCTACAACTATAACTCAACTTTTCCTCTGTTGAACCTGTCAAGTGCCGAGACAAATAACGGTCCACGCGCATTAACCACTATCATCAATGAATACGCAATGGAGACCGTTGGAATCATCAACCATCTTAGGCCACAGCGTAGAATGTGGGCGCTTTTAGATTTCGATGATAGTCAGTGGTGCAGATTTTACAATACGTCAGCTAATAATCGATTTCGTATCTGCGATCTCTTTTGATGTCCAAATTACTCGACCTCAGTTACACAGTTCGCTTGCAGAACAAGAGCGCGCGTATATAATTGAACAACGATATAATATGCCGTCAGCATGAGAAAGAAATAAAATTATAAGGAGTTTTTAAAAACAGAAATCGATCTACCAGAAAATGTAAGCCATGAGTCATAGCCTATCAAAATCCCTTGACCGCAGATTGTGGGAAGGCCTACGGACATGCCTTCAACCTCAGGCGGTTAACCACCTGACTCCACGTTAGGGCGCTGCCGAATCTATCTTCGTTCGATAGTGAAGGCTTTATATCTTTTGTTGCAGCAAAAGTCGTTTTTGATAGACGGGGTCAAATTAATCGATATTGCCTAGTGTTTTAAGGTCGACTGCAACGCGTTTTCCTGTTGGCAGGTCGACTAATAGAAACAGTGAGTTTAATGCAGAAGAGGAGTAGAACTATTGAAATTAGTACATTTATGAATCACTCGTTGATTGAAGATTATTTAAAATAAACGATTTCGTCTCCTGCAGAATGAACCTATCTAGTTGCACAATCAAAGTGTAAGTTTGAGACATGTTTATCGCACAGAAACAAAGGAGAACTGAATGGCATTCTGTGATGCCTCAGTCGTCATCAGCGAGTCATACTGAATAAGAAGTGATTAAAAAGTCAGAAATGGCTAATCCAGTGTCGTTATTTTTGCCAGCAATGGTGCTCTGTCGAAAATACTAGCCGCAATGCGGCCGCTGGAGAGACTTGAGACTGAGACTCAAGGCAGAATTGTGCGAGTGATCCGTGAACGATCGGTAAGCGTCCATCAACAATCGGTCATCAGCCAACGATAGATAATATCGTTTTTTAACCTAAGCCTCGGGTATCTTATAGTTTTTGCAAATGTTTGCATTGACTCCTAATTATCTGCCTACTCCTTCAGTTCCTTTGCCTTCTTTTTCCTTTTATTCCCTCCATGTCCTTATTAATGTTGTTGCTGAGGCTACTATTTTTTTCACTTCCACGACTTATAATTATACCTCCATCTCTGACTTTCGTAATTTTTTCGGCATTCTGTAGGTTTTTCTCTCACAACCGACGCAACCAGAACTTCTAGTCAGAATCTTGCTCGTCCCGAGACCTCCTTAAACATCTCCATTTCCTTTACTAATTCAGCAGTCTTATTTAGATATTCTTTGTCTGTTTTGACCTAAAACCTTTTGCCCCACAAACAGCCTATTAACCAACTGTCACTCTTTTCATGCAGCGATGACTCCCATCACGACACACCTAGACCGGAACAGGAGAAATTGTCAAAAAGCAACTCATCAGTTCGCATCGTTACTGTCAACATGCTGCCAGAGGATCAGGCCGCAGTTCTGCAGAAAGTCCGTGACCTCACCGCTTCCGGCGAAAATCGGCCCAAGATAGACGAGAGCGCTGTAGCCAAAGAGTTAAAGAAGTGGCTGGAGTCCACATACGGACGCACATGGCATGTTCTGATTGTTCGAGGCTCATACTGGCTGCAATTCTCTCACGAGCCTGAATTCTCCTTTCAGTTTGAGTTGGGGCCATACGTCTATGCAATGTGGCGGACTCCTATTGCCTAGACCACTTTGAAGGCTCCCCCTATGATGCGTGCAGTATTTAGTCTGTTATTTGATTTAAAACGCACAACCGATATTAAATTCGCAAACATCTACCGAGCGCGTTTTGCTCACCTAGAAATCCCTTCCTATTATGCAGCCTTAGCAATCGTTGTTTTAAAATTTTCTGTCAATTAAATTTGAAAATTTGATCATAAATGTTTGCGTTTAAGTTTGCAAAGCAAACACAGATGTACTCTCTCTTTCTGTAAATTAAAAATTTAAAGACTGCGTGATTATGTACCAAATCCCATCCATGGTGCAGGCATTTTCAACAATAGGCTTTGATTTCACAGAGGGCCGAAGGAAGCTAAAAGGCGAGCTCCAGGAAGCAGTCCAGAGGGATAAAATGCGAATGCTAGAACAATACATTCCATTTTCCATAGATCGTATTCTCTGCTCCGGAATTTCTAAAAGTTCCGCAAATTAATGCAAAAATGTCATGAAAATAAGGGGGTTATTTTTACGAATATGACTATACAGGTGACCGGAATTAAGTTCACTTCAAAACTGATAGTCCGTTGTAACTTAAATATCTTACGATTATGCTGTTTATTACGCAAAGTTACAAGTCCCATGTGGGTGATCCTCCCTGTGCGAGGCCAAGTGTCAGAATTTGATTAAAATTTCAGGACGTTTGGTGTTTTTGGCTTATAAATGGACGTAGCTTTTTGTATGGAAAAAAATCAATGTAACCCTAAAATGGGGGGAGCTCTTAAGCCCGAACTGCACTCGCGCATTGTGAATATTGCTCTGTTTTTGCGCTTAATCATGTTTTATTTTTACAGGGCTGAAAAATGGTGATTAGTGACTAGATTTAGGGTGTATACCTCATCCTTAGAACCAGTACTTAGTGGTCGCTTATGCCTGAAAACATAATCCCACTTCTAGAACATTCGTATAACGTAAATATAGTTCTGTTTCA